GAGAGGTTCAAGACTTCAGTAGAAGAGGCAACTACAGAAATAGTGGAAATAGCAAGAGAAACTGGAACTGAAAGTAGAGCCTGAAGATGTGACTAAATTGCTGAAGTATCATTCTAAAACTTAAATGGAGAGGAGGTGCTTCTTATGAATGAGTAAAGAGAGCAGTTTCTTGAGATGGCTTGAGAGTATTGACCCAATTTTGGAAAAAAGTTCTACAGTAGGTAAATGCTATCAAACAGCATCACATGCTATGGAGAAACCTTTCATAAAAAAAAAAATGAGTCAATTGATGTGGCAAATTTCACTGCTTTATTTTTAGAAATTGCCACAGCCACCCAAACCTTTAGCAACACCACCCTGACCAGTCAGCAGCCATCAACATTGAGTCCAGACCCTTCTCTAGCAAAAGCATGACTTGCTTAAGTCTCAGATGATCATTAGCATTTTTTAGTAATAAATTATTTAAAATTATGATATCTACTTTTCTACACATAATGCTATTATACACTTAATAAACTACAGTATAGTATAAACATAACTGTTATGTGCACTGGGAAACCAAAAAATTTATATGACTCGCTTTACTGTGATATTTACTTTATTGCGGTGGCCTGGAACTGAATGCACAATATCTTTGATGGACCTTGATGTACACTGTTAAGGTCTAATATCCAGAAGACATAAAAAACTCCTAAAACTCCACAACAAAAAGACAAGTCAATTAAAAGACGGGCAAAGGATTTAAATAGGCACTTCTTCAAAGAAGATATACAAATAACTAACAAGCACATGGAAAGATGTTCAACATCATTAGTCATTAGGGAAATGCAAAGCAAAACCACCATATGCAAATCACATGCACTAAGATGATCATACTTTTTAAAAAAGAAAGTATAACAAGCATTAGTGTGGATGTGGACAAATAGCCATCTCATACATTGTTAGTAGAAATGTAAAAGTGTCCCTCTGCTGTGGAAAAGTTTGGTGGTTACTCAATAAATTAAACACAGAATTACCATAAAAGGCAGGAATTTCACTCCTAGGTATATAAACCCAACGTTCAAGACAGTTATTCAAATGCTTGTACATGAACATTCCTAGTGACACAGTTCACAATAGCTAAAATGTGGAAACAAACCAAATGTCCATCAACTGATAAATGAATAAACATGTTAAGTCTATCCATACAATAGAATAATATTTGGCTACAAAAAAGGAACAAAGTACTGATGCAAGCTACAATACGAAAGAACCTCAAATACATTATGCTAAGTAAAAGAAGCCAGAAACAAAAAGCCCCCCCTCATATGACTGATTCAATTTACATGAAAGATCCAGTATGGGTAAATCTATAGAGACGGCAGTGTACAGGCTGCCACAACCTGGGGGAATTGAGGAGTCAGGAGTGACTGCTTAATAGGAACAGATTTCTTTTTGGGATGATTAAAATGATTTAAATCATCTCTACAATAAATCAAAAACTCAGCCAGGCGTGGTAGCGCATGCCTGTAATTCTGGCAACTTGGAAGGCTAGGCTCCGGCGATCCTTCCACCTCAGCCTTCCGAGTAGCCGGAATTACAGGCGCACGCTACCACGCCCGGCTGATTTTTTGATTTATTGTAGAGATGAGGTCTTGCTGCCCAGGCGGGTCTCGAACCTGTGGGCTCAAGCAATCTACTCACCTCAGCCTCCCAAAGGCGCGGGATTACAGGCTGAGCCACCGAGCCCAGCTGTTAATATTTTTTAAAGCTACAATAACAGCATTGTGTTTATATATTAAAAGGAAATCCTTATCTTTCAGAGATAATGAAATATTAATAGATGAAATAACATAGTATATGGAATCCAGTGTGAGAGCAGATGGAATAAGATCAGCTGCCAGTTAACAATTTCCAGAATGCTTGACATTTTCTATAGTAAAAGTTTAAGAGAAAAACAGCTGAGCTTCTGATTATCAAAATTCATTAACAACAGATACTGCTTTCCTTTCTCAGGAGTGATTTTCTAGCATAAAGTAGGCCAAAGTTTGGGCCACCTATGCAGCAGCCTTCAGACTAGGTGTTCAACATCCATGTGACTTCTGACACTGTTTTAAGAAAATTATTTCCAGATCCTCTACCTGGTCAGTCACAAACATCCATGTGACTTCTGACACTGTTTTAAGAAAATCATTTCCAGATCCTCTACCTGGTCAGTCACAAAGTCTTTCTCACAGCCAATCTGCCGCCTCTTTCTCAACGGCCTCTCTGTTACCTGCTAAACTGAGCACTAGCTTTGGGGATTAAAACTTTGGAATGGAGCATGAAACAAAAGCATAATGGAAAATACTGGTGCTGTAAACTTAAATTATTATTTCCTGGATAATATATCATTTTTTAAACCAAATGTTTTCCAAGTCAACAATTTCAACCAAATAGAAGAACCTATCAACAGGACTTCTCATTACCAGATCACATAAATTAGTTTTTGTTAAAAGATCACTAGCTGACTTTCAAATGCAACTGGAGAAGTTCCAATGTTTCCTCCTTTCTTCCTCTTTCTGAGTGGAAACAGACTCTCAGCACTGACACCCAGACTGTGCAATCACCAAGGCATGCAGAACTAACCAGGTGGTTTTCTCTAAAGCTCTGATACTTTAAGAAATGTATCTTCAATAGAATATTAATTTCTGGTTGTATAGGAGTTTATTGTATTTTTGGTTTTGATCAACTCCATAGTAATAACAATAGGTAAGTCAATCCTTTTATTCATAAATAAATCTTTAACACTTAAGTCTATATTTTGTTGTTGCAGAGAAAACATGGTTAGTAAACGACATTTAAGCATCAAGCATATGCCTCATACAAAGTTTGTTGGGAAACAGGTGGTTCTGGGGCTGAGGAGAGAAGCTGCACAATTCTTGTCTCTGTGTTCATGCAAGTGTGAGGGTGGGCATCCAGTCATGGCTGTATTTACAGTCCAGGAGAACATTTAAAATAAGTTTTATTTTAAAACAATATTTTCAATAGTGGAAAACTAAAACTCTTGCTTAAATTTATAATGAAAAATTTTAGGCCAGGCATGGTAGGTCATGCCTGTAATCCCAGCACTTTGGGAGGCCAAGGTGAGAGGAATGCTTGAGCCCAGAAGTTCAAGATTAGCCTAGGCAACACAGTGAGACCTCATTTCTACAAATAATTCAAAAAGTTAGCCAGGTGGAGTTGTGTGCACCTGTAATCCCAGCTACTCAGGAGGTTGAAGCAGCAGGATCACCTGAGCCCAGGAGGTTGAGGCTGCAGTGAACCATGATTGTGCCACTGTACTCCAGCATACCAATCCGGGAACCAGAGTGAGAACACAACACACACACACACACACACACACACACACACACACACAAATTTAGAGTTCATAAATATATGAAAGGGAACCAGAGTGAGAACACAACACACACACACACACACACACACACACACACACACACACACACACACACACACACACAAAAATTTAGAGTTCATAAATATATGAAAGGGATAGTTTTTCAAACTCCTTCTAAGAGAGATGGACACAGAAGGCCTCTGGACGAGCACCAGTGGTTCTCTGTCAGTCTGGAATGTGTCAGAAATGCACATTCTTGGGTCCCATGCCAGATCTGCCAAGTCAGAAACCCTGGGAAGCCCAGCACTTTGAGTTCCAACGGGTCCTCTGAGTGATTCTAATGCCCATGAGTCTGGGAATCCAGGGCCTGCACCCCATCTTTAGACTAGGAAATGATGAAGACCAGAAAACTGACTATCTATCCTCCCTTGCATCTACTTCCAGGGCCACCAGGTTGTCACATAAGAGCATCTATGACCATAGAGTTATTCAGAAAGAAAAGAATGAGGTCTGAACAGCTCTTAACCACTGAGGTTAAGAGGAATCTGAGGAAGAAGGCATTTTAAATGGGCAACTGATTATTGCAAACTTCTCAATCTGTAAGTCAAAGCATGTTAGTTATTTAAATGAAAAACTCTCAAGTTGTTAAGACTTCCCCAGAAAAAGTTCCAGACCTTGTTCTTCCACTAAATTTGGGGAGGGGCAGGCGGTAATAAGAGTCACAGTAAGAGGTAAATGCAGGTTTCACAGTTTCCATTTCATAATACTTGGTAGGGATCTGAAGGCCAACGTTATTAAGCCTTTTAATTCCTGCCCTCTTTCAAAGAAAGTATCCTGTGTGCATAGAGACAATTTTGGTTCCAGCTTCTGATTCTGCTGCTTGAGATCCTGCAGGACCAACCAGCATGGTACCACAATGGACCATGTGTACCCACATGACACAGCATGCACCCCACACTTCTGGGCCAGGCTCCACTGCTGCAATGTCTTTGTTAAACACTACCTCCAAAGACCCCATAAAGCTTAAGGTGACTTAGCAGCAGGGACTCCCACCCTGCCCAAAAATTCTCACAGCTCTGCAGGGTGAAGACACTTAACCTGGTGTCAGTAAAGAGGTTCTATTTTCTTCATTTGTCTGTGTCAAAATTTTCATGGAGTTTACAAGCATGGGTCTCCAAAGGGCTTTCAGAACCAAGGGCACAGAAGAGCTATATTCACCACTTCCACCATCAGAAACACACTCCTGAAGAAAAGCAGCATGCCCATGGAGAGAGCAATGCCACCCAACAGATGAGCCATGGCACAACACAAGGATATTTTATCAGTTAAGTTCTACCACCCAAAATTCAGGTGATATCTAGACCACACCCAGGTATCTAGATAAGGCGAGAGTACTTTTACCTCTCAAGGTATCAGAAACTCTTTTTGCAGAGGGCTCCTCCAATGAGAATTGCACAACAGTCAACTCTCACACAGTTTCCCAATTCTCCTACAGCATGACTAGATTTCCTGCAGCTTAGAAATGCAAACGTTTCCTCAGACAAAAACTGAAGTTTTAGCAGTCAGAACCAAAACACCAAATACCTCCCTTCGCGGAGTTATTTTGAGCTGGGGCAGGACATACGATGGCATTTCTTACCATTGTTCACCTGGCCGTGGACTGCAGTGGGGACTGGCACCACGTGAGTCCCGTTTTGCGTTACAGTTTTTATTGGTAGCTGGTGTTGACCTAGAGGTGCCTGTTGTACTATGGTGACCGTCTGGACAGGGGTGGTCTGAGGTGTCTGAATGATCCGGCCGGCAGCACCCAGAGTGGCGTGGCTGATGGCAGGAATAGGTTCTACTTTCACTGAAGTTAAAAGCAAAAGAAAGAAAAAATGACACCACCTATATTACTGGAAAAATTTAACCAATATGAAATAAAATAATCAGATGGCTATGAGACCTGCTATAAAATGTCTATAAAACTAATAACAAATTGGAAAAAAGATCGAGATGAATAAATCTTGTGGATTTCTAAGAGTGTGATGCTGATGGGAACTGTCTTTCCCACTGCTCACCTTTGACTTCCCTGTGATCTCCGTTCTCCTGTGGCTCTGCCTTAGGAGGGGCCAGCATGGCTGCCGGAGCAACCACAGCTTGTCCAGAGACAGTATACGTGTTCGCTGGAGCTAGTCCAGCCACACTGGTGACTGACACCGCTGGTATCTGATGGACGACGTGAACCGTCTGCACAACGGGTGGCTGGGAGGTGGAGGTGGTCACCGGGGTGGCCACAGTGTAGGTGACAGGCTTGATGGCCTGTGGTAGCTGCCGCTGGACGGTGATTAAGACTGGTTGACTGGACAGAGGTGACCCTGTCGAGAGGAAGGCAAAATCAGGACTGAGGCTGACAGGTCCTTTATTTCTACAACAGTTGCCCACACTAAGCACTTACAAACAACATATACATTTTAATTAAAAGTACATGCTGTGGCCCCATTTTACCTTACAGTAATAAAGCTACTAACGATGGGAGAAGTGTAGCATTTTAATTAGTATTTTCACTTAATTCCTGTATCTAACTGCTAAAATGCACTTTTGGCTCTATTTAGATTTCTGCCTCTTCTCGCAGTTCTTTCTTCATGAAAAAGAACATGGCAATACACAATATTAGAAGAAACCACCCCTGCAGGTCCAAAAGACCAAGGCCACACTCACCCAGGATCAACATCTTCCTCTTTTAGCAGATGAATGGGAAGCAGATGAATGGGAAGCAGATGAATGGGAAGCAGATGTAATATAGCCTCTGCTAACCGAGCTATGTCCTTCACAGTTTGGGGGCTTAGACCAAAAGGAAAGACACATGGCCTGGATTTGGTGGCAAATCCCAGCATTTGGGGAGGCCAGGGTGAGAAGATTATCCGAGCTCAGGGCTTTGAGGACAGCCTGGGCAACTTGGCAAGACCTTGTCTCCACAATAAATTAAAAAATTAGCCAAGCGTGATGGCATGCGCCTGTAGTTCCAGCTACTTGGAAGGATGAGACAGAAGGATCACCTAAGTCCAGTAGGTCAAGGTTGCAGTGGCCATAAGCATGCCACTGGGCTCCAGCCTAGGTGACAGAGTGAGCCTTCAAATAGGGGATAAAAAAAGACACATGGACATCAGGTACAACTGACAGGGGTAGACAGAAGTGGGGTGTTGCCTGGTCCAGCCTGGTCAGGAATCCCAACTAATCAAAATATACTTTTTTCTTTTTAAAGAGCAACACTACCAATAATGTATCTCTTTGCCCATTGCCAGGGAGTCAAAATACAAATTTTTATCAACATCAAAGGACTAGTTTGGATATTTTTCTATGTGATATATATATCTATATCTATATATATATTAATTCCCCAGGGCACATGTTTTATTTCACATTATGACTTTCTATGTAAACTGCAAAGTGTTCACCTATTCATAAATAGACATATTTTTGCTTCCCATCAATGCCTAGTTTGTCTAATTTATGTTTTTTTGAGGTAAGGGGATCTTTTTCATGGATTTTTGAATGATGAAGCAACTAACTGAGAAACAGGCTAATTCTAAATTATTTTAGGCATCTACACACAGTATCATTTAAAGAACATTCACTGATTTTTTTTTTTTTTTTTTTTGAATTGGCATCTCACTCTGTCGCCCAGGCTGGAGTGCAGTGGCACACTCACAGCCACCCCAGTATTGACTTGCTGGGTTCCGGTGATTCTTTCACCTCAGACTTCCCAGTAGCTGGATCTACAAGCATGCGCTATCACATCTGGCTAATTTTTCTTGATTTATTGTAGAGATGAGGTCTTCCCAAGTTGCCCGGGCTGGACATGAACCCGTGGGCTCAGGCAATCCTCTCACCTCAGCCTCTCAAAGTGCTGGAATTATAGGCATCAGCCACCATATCCGGCCCACTGATTTTTTTAAACACAGTGCTATTAGTTTTCCAGAGCCTATAAAATACTCAGGTACTGTGCAGAAAATATCAGGTACAAGGTTCAAAGGAACAAAGACTTCTTCTGGAAGTGCAGTTGTTTCTTCTCTGCTGAGCCCAAATGTCTGTGTCCAGGCTCCTGCCACCTGACCCTCACTTCCTCTCCCGCCTGGTGTCTCACCTGGTGCGCTCTGGGCAAACCGGGCTTCCTGGATGACGGCAAGTTTGGGCTGTGAGGCGCCAGGCTCAGGCTCCAGAGGGGCCGGCGAACCTTCCCTTGAGAGACTCTCAGGGGTCTGGGCACCACTGGAGTGAGCAGATAGCACTCCGGCATGATTGGGAGAAGCTGGGGCACTCCTGTGTCACCAAGAAGAAGACAGTGGATTTTTAAGGGTGATGCACTCAAAGCTTGTTGTTTTCATTAAGTGTACTATGCAAAAGGGGGTGTCTTTTGTCTCCTACCAACCAACCACAGTTGCTAAGTCTTACTTTTGTGCTCATCTGTAAGCTAAACTGGATATTCGGTGAGACGTGCTCAGCCTCTTGTGGAACCACCTTGTGCCCCTGGCCCAGCACAAGTGTACAATCATGGGGCCTGGCTGCCCTTTTTAAGCAGCTCCTGTGCAGCCAGTAGGAGCCAGCATTGGGAAGCTGGTGGGGGTGAAGACTTATGGTACACTCATTTCTTTTTTTGGTTAAAAACAGTATTAATGAAACTACAAACGGGTAGTTTTAAAATCAGGCAAATTAACACTATAAAAGTCAACTTGAGTTTAAGCAGCTAAAAGGTAGTTTTAAAGAACTTTTCACATGCCAAACGAAAGGAAAACCATCAATGTGGCATTACATTGCCAACTCAAGTAAAAGGATCTAATCATGTTAACAATATACAGTGATCCCAGGGAAGCAAAAATCAATACATGCGGATGGAGGTTAAATACAACTTTATAATCTCAAATGTTTTGGATTCCTAGAACCAAAATACACGGGCAGCATCCAATACTTTATTTTTTCAAATTCCCATCCCAAAATTTAATCATAATGCATTTGGTAGTTTCTTCATCTTCAAAATGAAAATTTACCAATACATTGAAGATAAGTTTACCGACCATTAATTGACGTCATTGTTCCTCTTTTATCCTTACCTAGAAGACAGCGGTCCCAGAGGGGTTCTAAAGCAAGGCACGCCCCTAGGCCGTCTTTTCCTAAAAGCCTGCTCTATTAATTTGCTTTCAGAGGCAGGATCTATCCTCCAGAATGAGCCTTTGCCTGGTTCTTCCTGGGAACGCGGTACTTTGATGAAATAACGATTCAGAGAGAGATTGTGGCGAATTGAATTCTATGAAACATAAAAAAATACGTAGAATTCATATATTTCCTTGCTGAGAAATAAAACCGTGCCCTACAAAGTAGAGACCTAGCTGTCCGGCTCCTGGTGCGGTAAAGAGCAATGCTGTGGGGGAGAAGCATGCTCTCCTCCTAGTGAGCGATTCTTAAGGGAGGACACAGCTCAGGGTTTGTGCCCCCCCGGCTGTGGGCTTCTACAGAGCAAAGGACATCGCAAAGCAGACACAAGGCAGAGGGGGCCCTGGGAGGCAACGCTGGGGAATGAGGAAAGGACTGGGAATCTGCACAAGCATGAACAAAGGCCATGTCCAACTACACCTCCTCTCTAGGTAGAAACCAAGGACTACAACTGTCCCTGTGTGAACTTTCAGGTAGAGCCACTGACTCAGTTGGCAGCCTCTCCCTCCTTAGAGACAAACAGAGCTGATAAACTGTTCCTTCAAAACATGTGTTTGCACAGGATTCGTTTATAAGCTCTGTCATGCCATTAAAGTAAATTCATCCAGTATAGTGCTTCTGGCAAACCAGCAAAGGAAAAAAGTGAGCAGAAGGTTGAGTTATGATGGACACCATCTTCCAGTAACAGACGACTCGGGAAAGTACTTCCAATACATGTTTTATTTGATCTTCACAATAAGTTCGTAAGGTATGCTGAGAAAATCTCTCTCAACTCCCAGACCACCATTCTTTCTATTACAAGAAGCCCAACTAAGGGCTTACAGACCATCTGAGGAAACCCACCACTGTGATTTCATTCAGGCTGCACCATCAGAGCCAAAGCTAGATAAAAGTCATGGATTCATATCAACATTTCATGCATTTACATTCATGTGTAAATTTAAAATTAAACTATTAAAGTTTGATTTAAAGTATTAAAGTAAAAACTCAAAATAAAATTAGGGACGATCCAAAAATCATTTATAAATTCCCCAAACTAAACTTTTAATAGAATTGCAAGCCACAGTCTGAAACTCTGAATTGTCAAGGGTGACTAAGAAATCAAACACATAAATAATACTGCATAGCATTCTCAAGGACTGTTCACATACTATCCCAGTCACAGGCCATGACTTAACACCTATGACTCCTTCATGGGTAATATGCAGGGGCAGGTTAGGCTGTGTCTGTGATTTGTGAAATTGCATACCAAATGTATTAGATGAGATTTTGCATATTTTATTAACTATAGATACTTGCTATGATGTTTTACCATTACATTTAGCTGATAAACAACCTCTCTATCAATTCCACCAGAAAATCCAATGTTACTGTTACTGGTGGTCTGACAAAGACAGAGAAAGCAAACCTTTGCCTCTGCTCTCAGACTTGTAAAGTATGGAACCGAAGTTAGATTCCAAGACTGTGGATTAAGAAAAGCAAACCTAGACAATATAATATAAAACACTGAAAACGGCAACTCTTATACCTTCCTTATGAGGGTCAACAGTTCCCCTCTCACTGTGTTCTCAGAACCACAGTCCCCCAAGCAGGAACTGAGAAAGAACTCCTGCCCTACACAGAGTTCTAAGCAGAGAGCAGACAACATCTGATAAGCCCCAAATGAAGACTGGGATTGCACTGATTGATGTGGAAGAATTTAATTTGCATATGTAAGGAGGAAAGAGGATTGTAGAGGGAATCTGGAAGCAGAAAATATTATTTCAGGGAACTAAGTTTTCTATTCATGTGAGAAAGAACATGACTGTGAGCCGGGAATGCTGCTGTTTCATTACCACTAATATCACTTACAAGACATAAAATAAATTCTTGGAATCAGAGAACTGCTATTCTGTTTGGAAAAATGTCATAACACCCAGTTTGCATAATCATAATCAGTTCTAACCTCCTCTCCACGCTAATCCACCTCCCTTAACAACAATCCTGTGGGCATAAGAGGTAGAATTTATCAAATATTACTTATGATTTTTCAATCAACAAGACCAGAAACTATCAGGAAATAATAAGACATTTAATGCAGGCACACACAAAATAAAGTAACTACTTTCTAAGGTAATTTAAGGCCTTTGTAATTTGATCAAACCCAGGATGGATGTTCCTTCGTTGTGTTGCTACATATATTAAAACCACATTGGATCCCAGTGACTCAGAAATCATTATAAAATATTCAGAGTAAAAGTGGGTTATTCTTTAATGCTAAATATGGAGGAAAGGATTACAACATTGAGCGAATTCTCCTTCCCCTAGAGTCTTTCCAAACCGAGGCTCTCTCCAAAATCAGCTCTTCCTGAGTACCAGTTCCCTCCCCCTCTCATTCCATCCTTACAGGGGGATTCCACTCCTGCTATCCTCCCTAGATATGTCCCCTTCCTGACCAGCCTAAGGTTTATTTAATCCCACTCAGCACTGAGTACTCCATTCTCCAGTGTGCATTTTGCACAGTAAGGACTTGTAAAGAAAACTTAGGAAGTCTGGGTGTGGTGGCTCATAACTATAATCCCAGGACTTTGGGAGGCTGAGGCAGGAGGATTGCTTGTAGCTAGGAGTTCAAGACCAGCCTAGGCAACATAGCAAGCTCTAGCCTCTACAACAAAATTAGCCAGGCGTGGTGGCACATGCATCTGTAGTCCTAGTGACTGGGGAGGCTGAAGTGCAAGGATTGCCTGAGCCCAGGAGGTCAAGGCTGCAGTGAGCCATGATTGTGCCACTGCACTATTGCCTGGGTGACAGAGTGAGACTCTGATTCAAAAAAAAAAAAGGAAACTGAGGAGAAGGAAACATCAAATTCCTTTAAATGGAACAGTCTAACAAGCAGGGTTGGTAAGTATAGACCACATGCTCTATTTAAAAAGAAATCAGCTCTGGTCCCTTTGGAGGCCAAGAACCCAGTTTTTTCAAACTTTCCATAGTCACAATTGTCTCAGTTCTGGGCTAGATAAAATTATACAATCATATAAAATTATTTTGGCAGAAAAATGCAACCAAAGGAAAAAAATATGCCATCTTTTCAGATAGGGTTGCTCAACCCATCACAATTTATTCCAGAATGTCCTCTGTAGATTACCCAAAAAACTATGTTGAGGGTAGACAACGCAAAATACCAAAACTAAGTCTAGAAGATGGTTGTAGACACCAGTAAGGACTTCCAGTGGGCTTGGTGGGAAAGTATCAACACTCACCCTCTTGGAGACTGATGGAAAGCACCAAACACCTTTGGTCATGCCCAGAGAAGCACTGTGCTGCAACCTGCCCACAACCCACTGGGGAAAGCAGGACGCAAGCTGGACACTCACATTTTAAAATGGGCTGTAATGCTGACAGTTTTATTTTTCTCTCAAAAGAAAGGGACGGGGTTCTTCTATGAAATCAGATTGAAAAGCAGAAAGGCTTTTTCTTTTAAGCCAGGAGGGAGGAAGCAAGAATAAGGTCTGACACGTACGGGGACATTCAGTACAGTCACTTTAGGAAGGGCAGCTCAGGGACTCTCAAAGCAGAAAAGAGTCCATTAGGGTCAGTATTCTAACAGCAAAGGACACAGCTGAGGACAGAAAGAAATTCCGAGTGCGTGTCCGTTAACCAAAGTGTGTCTGGAGCAGGTAATCCCTCTCTCACTAAATGAGCTGGAGCCAGGAGGCATGAAATACCCCAGGAGCAGCCTTACTCAGGCAGGAGATGCACAGTCTTCCTTATAGACCTTGATCTAGACAGAAAAGAAAATGTTTCAATAAAAACAAGTGTAATAACAGTTCAAAAGAGAGGGGTGCTCAATTTGTGGTTATGCTTGTAATCCTCCGCCTTATGTGGGTTGTGAAGTTACTTCTAGTAGCCAGCAGGAAGCAGTGCATGTGTGTGGGGTCTCCTATCAGATCCCTGCCTCTCCATGACAACGGTCTATGAAAGCTTGGCCCAGAAAGCTCTGCTCCCCAAAAGGCCCATCCTGACTTCCTGACTTAGGCTCCAAGAGACCGAGGCCAGGGTCAGCCATTATCCTTTCACCCCCTTTAGCAAGAAAACCTTGTGGTACTCATAGGTAGGTCTCAAATAAATGCATGTTAGAAAAACCCATGGAAATATGATCTAAGAAAAACAAATTAGAGTCTAATTAATCTTTTTAGAAACACTCCTGCAGAGCCCCAGGTAACTAATATTTCAAATCATCAGAATTTTGCATGTAATAAGCTACACTTAAATGCTGAAAGACCCTCAGGTGCTCACACACAGTGAGCTGTGTTCCATGTGAAGTTTCTCTCCTTTACAAAGCCATGGTCACTAGAACATGGATACAAGTTATTGTCCAGTTTTGGCTTTTTCATTTTATATATCTATTTTTTGAGTGGGAGTCTCATTCTGTCGCCGAGGCTGGAGTGCAGTGGCACACTCACAGCCACCACAGCCTTGACCTGCTGGGCTCAGGTGATCCTTCCGCCTCCGCTTTCCAAGTAGCTGGAACCACAGGCGCACGCCACCATGCCTGGCTAATTTTTAAAAGTTTATTGTAGAGATGAGGTCTTGCCAAGTGACCTAGCCTGGTCTCAAACCCCTGGGCTCAGGCAATACTCTTGCCTCTGCCTCCCAAAGTGCTGGGATTACAGCATGAGCCACTGCGCCCGGCCTCGTTTTATATTTTAAGTAGAACCTCACTTTTATTTATTTTATTTATTTATTTATTTATTTATTTTGAGTTGGAGTCTCACTCTGTCACCCAGACTGGAGTGCAGTGGGCTCTAGTGATCCTTTCGCCTCAGCCTTCCAAGTAGCTGGAACTACAGGCACACGCTACCACGCCAGGCTAGTTTTTGATTTACTGTAGAGACAAGGTCTTGCCAAGTTGCCCAGGTGGGTTTCGAACTCACGGGCTCAGGCAATCCACTCACCTCAGCCTCCCAAAGCGCGGGATTATAGGCTGAGCCATCGAGCCTGGCTAGAACCTCACTTTTATAGATTAAGATATATGCAGTGTGTTAAGAGACCCTGACAGGTAGCTATTCTCCAAATTCATCATTTTCCTAATGGTCAACTAAGCAATGCCCCCTTGCTGTGAACAGGGAAGGCAAGGCAGGCTGTGGATGCCCCAGGCAAGGAAGGGCACCAGGTAGGCCAGAAGGAAGGCTAGGTCTCATTACCTTCCATGACTAAAGACCCTGAGTCCCTCACAAAGGAAATATTGAGGATACTATTGGTAGATTATTTTTATTATAACATGTTTATACACCTCCCATTAAAGGAAAAAGATTTTTGTCTTTAATAAACAGAAAACAGTTACCCCCACACCATCCACATCACAAGGTTACAGAGTTCAACAGACACATTTTTTAAAGGATCATTTACTCATTAAACCAAAGCCTCAAAGGAATTCAGCAGTCATTCCTGGTGACTTAATGAATTTAGAAATCATAAGCATACATACATTAATTCCCACTTTTATTATTTTTTAGTAGGCTATATTTCAAACTCAACCCTTTCCCAAAGTGTCTCAATTAGTGAAGTTCTATAAATGGCCACACACAACACAGATACACAAAAGAGTAAAACAAATCTACACAATATAAAAGTTTAAAAATTATTGGTTCATGAGCTGACCAATGTGAATATTTTGCAGATTTCAAAGTGTCCTCTAAGCAGTCCCCGGGTTCCATGAGCAGGTGGACTCCCAGTTTAAACAGGGACACACCAAGTGCGTCTGTCTTATATGCTGGCCAACTAGAGAAGATGTCATTTGAAAAAAAGTGACCTTGGTAAAACAGTTTGAAACTGTGCAAACCAAAACTTCTGTATGACAGTAGGAATAGATATGGAAGACAGAAGAATGCCAAAGAATGGTCTAGATTTTAAATTCTCTTACACTTCAGTTATGTGAAAGGAACTCCATTGGTCAAAGAGAAACATCTCAAACAATCTACACTTTACAAATCCTCTGTAGACACATGTACTTCTGTGACAATAAAAATGTGGGTTTAGATTTTCATCTGGAACCATTCTTCCTTCTGCTCTACACAGAGGTTGGACAGAGCATGGCAGCAACAGACCACTAATACTCTTCCTTCTCTGAGCAGGAGAGGGCTCCACTCATCTCCCTCTACCTTCTTAACTTACACTTGAGCTCAACAAAGTAGCAGCTTAACTCTCCTCTCCATGTCAATCAGCCTCTATGAGACACGTAACAGAAATATTCAATAACAAACTGAAATGGATTTACCTGCCAGCCCTTGTCTGCAGTCCTGTAGTATGGATAATTTTTAGTGATGTGCGTATAGATTCCATTTAGGGTGAGCTGTTTGTCAGGAGCCATTGTAATTGCTTGTACTATTAATTGTGCATAGGAATAAGGTGGCTTTGAATCATCCTGCATGAAAAAAAAAGGTGTATTGAAATTACCACAATGTTTTACTAAATTTACCAAAATTAAGAATTCTTGGTGTTTTTAAGTGTTCCTCTGATAATACTTCTTCATTTTTCTTACTACAAAAGTAATATAATTTGAAAACTTGGAGGAAACAAATGGAAAAGTCTAGGAGTATAAAAATGAATATTAAGAATCACATAAGGAGAAAATCCAAACGTCAAAAATGAAAAAAACTGAGAAAAGCTGCTCAGCCTTAGTGGAGTCCTGGGTAAAGCCCATTAAACCATAACCTGGTCTTATCGATTGCTGCAGTGGCAAAGGTGAGGGGGGTGAGAAAGGCCAGGTGCTGTGAGGGCAAAACCAGCAGCACCCCTCCAAGGCACTAATGCTGGCAGAGACCTTCATGAGCACCAGGGGGCAGTCAAGAGCACTCAGAGCAGCAGGACCGCCCCATGCCACCGTGAGGAGCTTGCACATTAGAAGCTCACACAGGTGGACTTCGCATTCAAGCAAGCAAGGCTCTGACAGAGAACCGAGTCATCCTGAGTGGACACAGCTCAAGCACAGGGCTGCTGTGCACCCCCCAGGCCCTAGTCCCGGCTCGCCCAAGACTACTAGTGGCTCCTTGTCAGTGTGACAACTCAAAACCCATATATATTGGCACAAGCCCACTGGAGCGAGGGAACCACTCGTGGTTGTGAACCTCTGAGAAACATACATATCAACATAGATGAATAACAAAACATAATGCAGGATGAAAAAAGTAATTTGCAAAGTAATACATTCAAGATGATACTATTTATATGAAGTTTGAACATCAGAGATAAACACAAACAGAGTAAAAGAACAGGCAGGTTGAGAGACAAGAGGCGAGGACGTCCAGGGTGTTGAGAGGGAACCCATGGGCTTCCACAGCACAGGGCGTGCTCAGTCCTGAAAGCTAGGGGTAGGCACAGGGATGTTTGTCACCATGCTCTGAACAGAAGAATATAATCAACTATAATCCTCCCCAACAGTTCCATTTTTCTTTATTTTTTATTTTAAGAGATAGAATCTTACTCTGTTGCCCAGGCTGGAGTGCAGTGGTAGAATCATAGCTCACTGCAGCCTCCAACTCCTGGGTTCAAGCGATCTTCCCGCCCCAGCCTCCCAAGTAGCTGGAATTACAGGCACATGCCACTAAACCAAGCTTCATCTCCACTTTTAAATAGCTAACATAGCCTATAACACTGTGCTTATGCTTTTGTATTTCCTTGTGATATTTTTTCTATATGTTTCTAAAAACTTTTTAAATTGAAAAAATATGTAACACAGAAAATCTCATAATACATTCAAGTCAGCTGAACAAATTTTTGCAGGTGACCATCAGTACACTAGGTCAAGAAACAGAACACAGCCAGCATCCTGGAAGCTTCTGTATGGCTGCCTCAGTCCTCTACCTCTACATCTCAGAGGTCACTATTATCCCTTTTTAATCACAGTTTTGCTGTGATTTGTTAGAAGTTTTATCACCTGAAATACATCCTTAAACAACATAATTTAGAGTTGCTCGACTTTAAACCTAACAAAAATGGGACCCTGTATGAGGCTCCTCCGGCTGCCATATGCATATGATCACCGCTGTGGTATACTCAGGCTTGTGGCTGTGCTCTTCTGTAGGGACACACCATATCTTATAAGGATGTAAAGTAATGCTATGCATAGTTTTTATTCTCTTTTTTTTCACTTAGCATTATATCAAGAGCATTTCCATATCAGTAAATCTTTTGTATATAATAGTCTCTAACTAGGCTCATCTTATCTTAATCACTGTTCCCTACAGGACATTTAGGTTGCTTTCAATATTGTCTTACATAAACTTCCATGCACTTCCTTAAGGCAAAGTCCTAGAAGGCAAAATATCAGGATCAAAGAATAAGAACATGTAGGCCATAATGTGACTATCAACAACTGCTTTCCACACAGGGGACACATGTACCCTTCCCAAAAGGTGCACAGGGGTATGTGCCCATATCTTCAGAGTTTGGGACAAAGCAGAGGGGGTACACTAAACTCCAGCAGAAGATCCCTTGGACACAAACACTTGTGAGCTTCTGAACCTAGGCAGTCTTGTCTCCTGCTGTCTGCTCAGCTCTCAGCACTTGGGCCCACAGCTGCCACTGAGGAGATCCTCAGATGTGTGCTAATGACTGAAAGAGCTACTTGCAAAATTCTAACACCAAGAGTATACTCAACAGGGACACCAGAACCAATCCACATCACTGATCCCGCTTCACTGACACACAATGACCTATATCTTTCCCAAGGCTCTGGAGGGGCTGATACTAGACACGTAGGTGATAAATTGAAGACTGTGGTTATACAAGATCCCTTGAGTACTGTTCCAAGACTATAGAACATTTACCTTTGGGCTGTCTCCACCTGAAGCTTCCTTTTCATTTTCTGGCTGTGAGCTGTCAGTCATTAAACTGAGGTCAGATGGTATCACTCGGCCCATCTTGTACCCTGAAGACCCTGCTCCCCGGGGGCTGGATGGGCAGGAGTTTGCAGCACTGTGGAAGAGAAAAGGTTGTTCCTATTAGTCTAGCACAGAGCATACATCATACTGTGCTTCAATAACTGACTCTGATTTCAGAGGAAACAAACAGGAAAATGTTAAAAAAAAAAGTAAGAGTATACAAACATTTCCTATGGAAACACAAACTTTCCTCTGTGAAATCTAAGATGATCCCAAGAAGCAATGTGGAGAATATTTGCTTCCATATATGTCATCCTATGAAACCATAAAACAAGGAACTTACCAAAGAGACAAAGCAACACATGACAGGCACAGCAGAGGAGCTGAGACAGGCTGGGATGAGGCCACCAGAAATAACAGGGAGAGTCTGGAGGGAGAGGAAGGCAGCCAGCCATGGACACATGAACTGAAGAAGAGCCAGTGGCTCCCTCTCAAGGATAAATCCATGGACATAGACATCCGCAGAGAGCAGGCAGTAGGTCAATAAGGGGCAGCCAGAAAGCAGAAACAGGTACTTGTTTTGAGACATGCACATTTCCTTCCCACCAAGTTGGGCTGGGGCACAGAGAGGGCTCTGATTCTTTTTTATTATTTTAAAATTTTCTGTAGAGACAAAGTCTCACTATGTTGCCCAGCCTGATCTCAAACTCCTGGGCTCAAGCAATTTTCCCACCTCAGCCTTCCAAAGTGCTAGGGTTATAGGTATGAGTCACTGCGCCCCAGCATTGGTTCTTGATCTTAGTGCTGACTGTAAGTCATGTTCATTTGTCATAAGTCAAGGAACTATAGATTCAGTTTATGCTCCGTTTTCTGCACAGTATACTTCAATAAAAAGAATAAGTCATTGAAATGGAATCATATCAAGATAAATTTTTTAAAAAAGGTACAAGGGTGTTGGGGGGAAGACATCACAAACATATAGAAAATTTCTGGAAAAAAACTCCCAAGAAACCTAGCTGTAGTTGCTGCTGAGAAACAAAACTGGAAAGGAGGGTCAGGGAGAGGAAGCAGCAGGAAGGAAAGAAGGCAACACACCATCAGTCTTGCACCCTCCTGCAGTGCTGCTCAGATTTTCCACCATGAACACACACCATCTGTGTACATGCTCACCTCACCCATAAACCAAGTATTTGCCGAAGGCCAGCAGCAATCCTTGATGTACTGGAGAACAGGAACAAGAAAGATGCACAGCATCTATACTTCATGAGTTTAAAGAGTCAGCTTCTAAGTCAAGGACACAGTCAGTATAGATGGAGGAAGGCAAGCTGCCCACTGACTGGACAGTGGGTGTGGAAGGGGCAGGCTTGCTCCACCTGGAAGCTACTCTGGGTTCTGCAGGTGAAGGTGTACGTGTGCAAGGTGGGGGCAACAAGGAAGACACAGGATGAAGACAACAAAGAGGTGAAAGCAGAACGGAGTCAGGAGCTGATCCACCATGCTCTGCCAATGCCCTTCACACTGTCCACCCTGTGCCATCTGACTTAGGTCACGTGGGCTTCCTCCACCTCAGTGAATTGTGTATTTTTGCATAGCGCTTTATTAATATTTGGCAGCAGGACATGTTGACGTTTGCCTACCAGTGGACACATTTTCTATTTGGTCCACTTAGTCACATATGAACAAATTCAACCATGGTGGGAAAGAGAGAAGGCAGCATCGTCAGCCAAGTGGTCATAGGGGAGAGCAGTGACAAGAGATGCTTGATGCCAATAGCCCTCGGGCAGCACTGAGTCCAGGGAGATAGGTGAGTGAACCCAGTTACCTCTCTACTCAATAGAGAAATGCACCAAAGATGCTTCTCCAGAAGCCCTTCTTTTTTTCACTGTAGTAAAATACACTTAACATAAAATTTACCATTTTAACCATTTCTAAGTGTATGGTTCAATGGCACTAAGCACAATGACACTGTTGTACAGTCATCACCACCATCCGTCTCCAGAACTTTATCATCTTCTAAAACAGAAACTCTGTCCCCACTAAATACTGACTCCCTATCCTCACTAAATACTGACTCCCCATTCTCACTCAGCCCCTAACACCCTCCATTCTTTTTTCTGTCTCTGTGAATTTGAGCACCTTAGGGACATCAGTGACTGGCTTATTTCACTCAGCATAATGTCCATGCTTTAGCATATGTCAGGATTTCCTTCCTTTTTTTTTTTTTTTGAGTTGGAGTCTCACTCTGTCACCTAGACTGGAGTGCAGTGACCGCTCCCGGCCACTGCAGCCTTGACCTGCTGGGCTCCGGTGATCCTTCCGCCTCAGCCTGCCGAGTAGCTGGAACTACTGGCACGCGATACCACACCCGGCTCATTTTGATTTATTGTAGAGATGAGGTCTCGCCAAGTTGCCCGGGCGGGTCTCGAACTCGCGGGCTCAGGCAATCCACTCACCTCAGCTTCCCAAAGGCACGGGATTACAGGCTGAGCCACCGAGCCCGGCTTTCCTTCCTTTTTAAGGTGGGATAATATTCCATTGTATGGATATACTACATTTTGTTTCTCCAGTCATTTGTCAGACCCTTGGGTTGCTTTTACTTTTTGGCTATTGTGAATGATGCTGCTTTGAACATGGGTGTGCAAGTAACTTTTTGAGACCCTGCTTTCAGTTCTTCTGGATATGTACCCAGAAGTGGCATTGCTGGATTATATGGTTAATTCTTTAAAAAAAAAAAATGATCAGGATACCACACTGTCTTGCATAGCCACTGTACCATTTTCCATTCTCACCAATAGTACAGTACACAAGGGTTCCAATTTCTCCATATCCTTACTAACCCTTATTTTCTGGGTTTATTTTGTTTTGTTTTGTTTTTTGAGTTGGGGTCTCACTCTGTTGCTCAGGCTGGAGTACAATGGCATAATCACGGCTCACCATAATCTTGACTTTCTAGGCTCAAGTGATCCTTTAGCCTCAGCCTCCCAAGTAGCTTGGACTATAGGTGCACTTCACATCCAGCTGATTTTTTGTAGAGACAAAGTCTTGCTATGTTGCCCACACCATTACAAATTCCTGGGCTCAAGTAATCCTCCTGTTTTGGCCTCCCAAAGTACTGAGATTACAGGCATAATCTGCATCTGGCCTTGTTTTTTTTTGTTTAATAGTAGTTACCCTAATGGGTGTGGAGTGAGATCTCACTGTGGTTTTGATGTTGAGCAATATTTTTTTTTTTTTGAGTCGGGGTCTCACTCTGTCACTCAGGTTGGAGTGCAGTGGCACAATCATGGCTCACTGTAACCTTGACCTCCTAGGCTCACGTGATCCTTCTGCCTCAGTCTCCTGAGTAGCTGGCACATGCCACCATGCCTGACTTATTTTTTGATTTTTTTCGAGTCAGAGTCCCACTCTGTCTCCCAGGGGGACTCTGACTCCCAAGCTGGAGTGCAGTGGCACGCTCACAGCCACTGCAGCCTTGACCTGTTGGGCTCAGGTGATCCTTCAGCCTCAGTCTTCCAAGTAGCTGGAACTACAGGCATGTGCCACCATGATTGGCTAATTTTTCTTGATTTATTGTAGAGACGAGGTCTAGAATCCCTGGGCTCAGGCAATCCTCTCACCTTGACCTACCAAAGTGCTGGGATTATAGGCGTGAGTCACCATGCCCAGTCTATTTTTTTATTTAAAAAAATGTTGTTGAGATGAGGTCTCACTATGTTGCCTAGGCTCGTCTCAAGTTCCTGGGCTCAAGCAATCCTCCTGCCTTGGATTCCCAAAGTGCTGGGGTTACTGGTGTGAGCCACTGCACCTGGCTGAGCATCTTTTAATATGCTCATTTGACATTTGTATGTCTTCTTTAGAGAAATGTCTTTTGCATTTTGTAATTAGGTCTCTTATCTTTTTTGTTGTTGAGTTTTAGGAGTTCTCTATATACACTGGATATTAATTCATCAGACATATGATTTGCAAATTTTATCCCATTCTGTAGAATGCCTTTTTACTGTTTATACTGTCTTCTGGTGCACAAAATGTTTAAATTTTGATGAAGTCAAATTTGTCTTTATTTTTATCTTTTGTTGCCTATGCATTTGGTGTCAAATTCAAGAAATCATTGCCAAATCCAATGTCATAAGACTTTGGCTTGGCCAGGCATGGTGGATCAAGCTGGTAATCCCAGCACTTTGGGAGGCCAAGACGAGAGGACTACGTGAGCCCAGGAGTTTGAGACTAGCCTGGGTAACATGGCGAGACCTCGTTTCTACAATAAATCAATCAGTTGGGTATGGTGGCACATGCCTGTGGTTCCAGTTACTTGGAAGGCTGAGGTGGAAGGATCGCCTGAGTCCAGTAGGCCGAGGCTGCAGTGGCTGTGAGCATGCCACTGCATTCCAGCCTGGGCGACACAGTAAGACTTTGACTAAAAAAAAAAAAAACCAAATAAATAAAATAAAAAATAAGCCAGGCGTGGTGGCACACACTTGTAATTCCACCTACTTGGGAGAATTGCCTGAGCCCAGGAGATAGAGGCTGTAGTGAGCCATGATTGTGCCACTGCACTCCAGCCTGGGTGATCGAGTGAGACCGCCACTCAAAAACAGAACCACCCCTCCCCTACCTTGGGGAAGTGAATCTTCTCTCTCTCTCTAATTTACTTTTAAAAAAACTATATTTTCTAATCTAAAAAAATAAAACAAAAAGCAAAACAAACAAAAAGAACTGACAGAACACAACAGACTGATCTGGTCTAAGCCTGAGCCCCATCCCCACAGTCACAGTGGAGTTTCTCAGTGACCAAATGCTGTAACCTAACCTACTCCAAGAACAGCACCAAAACCATACAGTTCTCTAAGGCTGTTCTTCACCCTAAGTCACTCTCCTCTGAGAGCTCTATGTGGTGCACTAGGTTCCCATGGAGGGCACCAGTTGTGCTCAGAAGATACCACCCTCTGCTTTGAGGTGTCCTGTCTCTCTCAGGATATCAGTATGAACACAAGCTAGATGCTTCGATGAGGTCATACCAAAGTATAAGCTTTAGAATTTATATTGTAGAAAACGAAAAAAAGTCAAAATTAAAATTACAATATATCTCAGCTAGGCACAGTGGCTCATGTCTGTAATTCCAGGCGAAGGCAGGTGGATTGCTTGAGCCCAGGAGTTCGAGACCACCCTGGGCAATATGGTGAAACCTTGTGACTATGAAATATCAACAAAAACTTAGCTGGGTGTGGTGGCGCACCTGTAGGCCCAGCTTCTTGGGATGTTGAGGTGGAAGGATCGCCTGAGCCCAGGAGGTTGTGGCTGCCATGAGTTGTGATCGTCATGATCATGCCACTACACTCCAGCAACAGAGACCCAGACTCAAAAAAAAAAAAAAAAAATCAATCTGACTTTGGGTCAATATTACAAATCATCTGCCCCTTCCATTTATACTCCAATAAAAAAGAATCCAGGCTGAACCAGTAACTCATACCTGTAATCCCAACACTTTAAGAGGATTGCCTGAGGCCAGTTCAAGAGCAGCCTGGGCAACACAGCAAGATACCATTTCTTTCTTTTTTTTTTTTTTTTTATTTTAAAGATGTGGGGTATAATTCAGGATTAGGTATACAAATGGTCATTGCAGAGGTAAAGTTTGGGCCTCACTTTGGTACCCACTTCACCTGGTTTGAGATCAGGTACCCTTATTGATAAAGTGTGTGCCCCCAGCAGTCTCCCATTACTGTCAATCCTTTCTTATAGTATTATTATAACTATTCAGGGTCCACTTATGAGTGAGAACATGTGGTACTAAGTTCTTTGTTTCTGTGATAGATCACTAAGTATTATAGACTCTAAGTGCATCCAAGTTGCTGCGCAGTTCATAATGTTGTCCTTCTTTATGGCTGCATAATATCCTATCAAGTATATGTACCACGTTTTAAAAATCCAGTCCACTTTTGATGGGCAGCATGACTGGTTTCATGTTTTTGCTACTGTGAACAATGCTGCAATAAACATGCGTGTGCAGGTATCTTTTTACCTAGAGTGATTTGAGTTCCTCTGGGTATCGTCCTAAAAGATCTAAAAATTGGCCTTTCATACAACCCAGCAATCCCCCTTCTGGGTATATGCCCGGAAGAACTCAAACCACTCTAAGATCCCATTTCTAAAAACATTTTTTAAATTAAAAAAATTAAATAATCCATCAGTAAAAACCAGGAACATTTGAAATTCCTAATGCAGGAAATTCAAAGCAGAAAGTCAACACCATTTTAAGCACTCCTTAATATCTCCCTTTCCATGTGGAGTCTGTAACTGTGATTGAGGATGCACCTGTGCCCTATTCCCTGCCACCATACCTGATGGTTCCTGTGGGGGATGGGAGGGGGCTGATGAGGTGGGCCATGGTGTCTGGAATGTTGATGGTCAGGGGTGAGATGTGTGGCTGCACAGCCTTCACCGGGGACTCAGGCGCCTCTTGTTTTTCCCTCTTCTCACTGGACAGGGCAGTGAACGTTATCTTGATGTTTGTGCTCGGGAACCTAAACGTGCACCTGGAAAAGAAAAGCCCACCATCAGTGCCCTTCTGCTGTTTGAGCCGGAGCAGGAGCAGTGTCCCAAGTGTCACCCATGGCACTGGAGCAGCTAAGGACACACAATACAACACCCAACCTCACCATACCACCTTATTACGAGCCACTGAATGAATAAAACCACAAATAAAGCGTTTCATGACTTTAAAACACTGGTAGGCAAAACATAATTTAGATCAGCCAAACAGGAAAATAAAAAGCATGGGTGCAAAAAAGACTCAAACACCACTTTATTTGCATTACTTCTTTTAAAATAAATGCAAAATATGTTTTAGGTCTTACAGAGTTAAAACAAAGATTCAAATTCCACTTAGCATGTACTATTCCTTTTTGGGTCACTAGGCAACAGGCAATTTTGTAGTGGCTTTCTTATTTAAGAAATATCATTCCTTTTCTTAAAACAAACCAAAAAAATCTACCATCTTTTTCTTTTCTTTAATTGAGCTTATTTGTCCCCTGAAATTCCTATTTGGTAAGTCTATTTCCCAATGTATTTTTTTGTTCGTTTTTTTGAGTCAGAGTCTCACTCTGTCATCCAGGCTGGAGTGCAGTGGCATGCTCACAGCCCCTGCAGCCTCGACCTGCTGGGCTCAGGCGATCCTTCTGCTTCAGTATTCCAAGTAGCTGGAACTACAGATGTGTGCCATCACACTCAGCTAATTTTTTGATTTATTATAGAGATGAGGTCTTGCCATGTTGCCCAGGCTGGTCTTGAATTCGTCAGCTCAGGCAATCCTCTAGCTTCTGCCTCCCAAAGTGCTGGGACTACAGGCGTAAGCCACCACGTCCAGCACATCTTTTTCACTAAGCAAATGAGAGCCAGAGACACTGAACTGCAGAGGGAAAGGTTTGCAATGCAATACTCTGGTTCACATTTAATGTAGCTTCCTTGACATAACCCAAGTTAAAATTTAAAAAAAGGTAATGCAAGCCAAATACCTTCAAAGAATAAAATTTTAAAAGAGCCACAGACTCTCAGTCTCTAAGTGTCACTGTGAACCCAGTTAAACATCTATTATTTGCCTATAAACGGCCCAAACAAGTGGCCAGCAGTGCCTGCTCAGCTCACGTCTGCGCATACATTCCAGGCACATTCACTAAGGAGGCCAGCCCTGCCCACCATCCTGTCCTCCCAAGCACATGCCCAGGAAGGGTCTAGCCTATGAAGATAAGAGACTACCTGTGTCCCTCCCACTTCCAGGGACATCTCCAAGGCAACAGTTTCCAACACTTTAGGTGGAGCAAGAAAGGGCATCATCGCAGAGTTTCAACACTTGCTTCCTCACCTTACACTCCCACCTTCAAGCCCCTCGCCCTTTCCTTCCCTTGTGAGACACACCCGGATGGTCTGCCCTCCCCATGGTCTCTTTGAATGGAGCAGAGTCTAACAGATGACCACTCTTTCCAGCCCTACTTCCTGGGGCTCTTTAATTCCTTCTGGACACTCCTATTTTTACCTCCCAATGTTCAATGCCCCAGACCTAGAATTCAGCATCTCTCTTAGTCTATGCTTACTCCTGGGCGAGCTCACCCAGGTCTCTAACCTTGAATTACACACTCACTCAAATGGCTCCAAAGTCCCCGCTTCCAGCCCTGGCTCCTCCCTACACTCCGAATCTCATGTGCACCAAAACCACAGCCAAGGCTCTCTCCTGGGGCTCCCCTCAGCAGCGACCAGCATCACTCAGTTACACCAAAAATGTGAGAGTCCCCAGACCACCTACCTGTGCTATGAGCCCTCCCCTTCAAATCACACCCATCATCAAAACTCAAAATGTACGCTGAGGTGAAAGGATCACCTGAGCCCAGCAGGTCGAGGCTGTAGTGCTGTGAGCGTGCCTCTGCACTCCAGTCTGTGCGACAGAGTGAGATTCCAACTCAAAAAAAAAAAAAAAAGATACTGAGCAAAGATGCCACCTTCTTGTCTTGTTCATCTTCTAGGAAAAAAGGTTCGCAAATCACATGTCCAACAAAGGACTCTCATCCAGATGATGTAAAGAACTATCCAAAGTCAACAAGAAAATCCATTAGAAAAAGGACAAAAGACTCGAACAGATACTTCATCAAAGAAGATATATGGGTGGCAAATAAACACATAAGATGTTCAATATTACTAATCATTAGGGTAATGCAAATTAACCCCCCCCATGAGATACCACTGTATATGGGACATGTCACAGAAATACAGACATATCAAGGGAAAAAAAGAATGCAACAACCATCAATATACATCCCAAACTCACTAGTTGCTGCAACCCCCTAGCTCTACTCATGCAGTGGTTCCCAGTCAGTGAGGCCACCCCCTGTGTCTATGGTGGTATCTGGAGAGAGACAGATTGGCTGACAGGACTTGGGGGAGGCCAGAAAGAGATGCAGTGCACAGGATGGCCCCATCAAAGTGACCCACTCAATGTCCAAGGGTTTGGGCTGGTCTCTCATCTGTCACTGGTCTCTCATGACACTCCCATGCCCAAGCCCTCCTCTCGGAGTCACACCCTAGTTTCCCTACACTCAGTAGCCAGAGCCAGTTTCTAAAACAGTTCTATCTGCACATGGTGGACAATTCAAAGACACAAAAGGTCTTGGAGGGAAAACCAGACTCTGTTCCTCCTGCCCTCTGGTTTCCCTGTCCCTTTATAAAGTGCCTGATGCTACCCCCTCCACTCCCAACTCCACAGGGCTTCTACCCCATTGGGATCAGACCCTAAATCTCCTTGCTCCATCCCCTCACTGCCTTTCCAAGGGCATCTCCCCAGCCCTGTCTGTTTTCATTTCTGCCATGTGAATCTGACACCTGCACTCCCAATTATGTGTTTGCTGGGTGAGTGGGCTGTCTCCTACCATAGGATTTAAGTTCCATTAGAGCAAAGCCTGGCCTGATTGCTTGCTGCTGTAGCCTACAGCCCAGAAGACTCCCTGCTGTATATATGGTAGGCCTCAGTACATTATGTATTGGATTAATGAAAAAGTACCCAATTTCATCTATTAAAAAGGTAATTAGAATAATCAAATCCCATGACTAAAACAAACGGGAAGCCCACAATTGAGCACTGTGCACTGCCTCTTTACCACAAGCATAAGATTTGAAGAATCACCTCTGGGCTTAGAAAAGAGGGTAATTAAGACTAAACTTGTAGTACAACAGATATGACAGTTATGAGAGCAGAGATAAACTTTTTCCTGCCCTTGTATGTAGCAAGCAGTTTTGTTTTAGGTCATTTAACGTGATATGCCCACAAAAATTCAACTGAATAGCATCTGTTCTTGAACAAATTTCCATATTTCATGGAAACAGCTGCTCCTGAGAAGGCCAGGAAGGGAGCTGGAGCTCCATGGGCTCACATGGAAAAGTCCACATAGCATCAGCATCTCCCACCTTCCTTGGTTTGAAAACAATATATGTAACACACTGACCCTCTTATATGTAATAAGGTCTATTTTACATCCTTGTAAATTGTTAACTGAATCAACTAAGATCAAGAGAGAAACACAGACCTTCATTGGTATCTAAGCTGAAGGAAACAAAGGAAGAAGCAAAGAAAAAGAATCCATAAAACAAAAGATGCCAAAATGCTGCAAGCTATACTGTAAACAATACTGCTGAAAAATCTCACTGGGTACAATGTCCACTATGTGGACAATTGGGACACCAAAACCCAATCCCCATCAGTACACAATATGCCCATGTAACAAACATGGATATTCCTGAATCTAAAATTAAAACAAAAATTTTTTAATAAAATTAAAAAGGTTAAAAAAAAAGCCTTCATTAAAAACTAATGGACAGGCCAGGCTCAGTGGGGCTCACGCCTGTAATCACAGCACTTTGGAAGGTGGAGGCGAGAGGACTGCCTAAGTCCAGGGGTTTGAGACCAGTCTGGGCAACTCGGCAAGACCGTCTCTCTGCAATAAATCAAAAATTTTGCTGGGTGTGGTGGTGCGCTCCTGTGGTTCCAGCTACTTGGAAGGCTGAGGCAGAAGGATCATCACCTGAATCCAGCAGGTTGAGGCTGTGGTGGCTGAGAGCATGCCACTGCACTTCAGTCTCGGCAACAAGAGTTAGACTCCTACTACAAAAAAAAAAAAAAAAAAAGAAAGAGAGAAAGAAAAACAATTCCTAATGGTGTCACAGTAGTTCCCACAATATGCAGCAACAACTCAGGAAATGAGTGAGTCCACACCAAAAACACAAGGCCAATGTTGAAAGAGACATCTCTATAGTCCATCAAGAGCAAAGAACAGAAACATTTCATCCTAGTGGCAGTCATTGTTTTGTAAGCTCCAAATTCAAATGTCCATTTATTGCTACATTAAAAAAAAAAACCTCAATCACCCGTCATGTGTTTCAGATGCTACTCAATCCGACTCCCTAGATTCAAATGGAAGTTACTTCTAGATTCCACTCACTGTGTTGAGGGATAAGTTGTCAAAAGGTGTGTGGTACCTGTCACTTGTGGAGACAAAACTGCAAATTGCCCCAGCCCTTTCGCCCACTACCTCCTACACCCTCCTCATTGCTAATGAGTGACCCATCCCACCAGGGACATTCCCGGGACCATCTGCCCTCTCACACCAGCCTAACAGCCAACCACCCAGGGACTCTCACTTACAGAAACCATGTGGACTCATGTGGGGCAACACACTTAGACTCCACATACTGCTGTCCTCCCTGCAGGGTGCCTCACACCACATAAGCTCTGGCTGAGCACAGCAGCTTGTGATTGCCAGCGAGTACCCAATATAGAGGAAAGACACAGGTGAGCACCAACTGTCCAACCCAAGCTGAAACTTGGTGAAAAACTGTCAATACTGACACTAAAAATACTGACTACATCAGATCAATATTGTACTAATTTATCTGCAACACAAGTGAAAAACCACACAAAGTAAAAGTAAAGAATACAATGAAACCAGTGAACTCGGCATTAAGATTATCTGTAATGCTCTTAGCAATATTTTTT